TGCTTCGATCTGAAGCCTTTTTTGTGCGCGGTATGATCTCGTTTAGCGTGAATTGAATAAGTCGGTAACGGTGATATTACGATTAAAGTTTTGTACGATTTGACCAATAACGATTCTGTACACGTCTGATAAAATACACAATATGTTTTTCTTTCTGAGTATATCGTGGCACATGTATTCATTACTTTTTTCTTTCATCACGCGGATAAAAAGAAACTGATAGTTTGTTAGCATAGCAAAAAATTTCTTTTGTGTTTTTGGTTGACTTGGTATTTGCTTTTTATAATTGTGTAAACAACTGCGGCTTCATTCATGCGTTATCCAAAACTTATTAGACAATTCTGAGTTCTTTACCATTTTTGGAGTACTGTTATAGGTTAGGCTTTTGATTTGCCAGTATGTTAGGGTTACAGTTAGTTGTTGGATACTTTCTGTCTATATTATTCACTGTGCTGGGTTCCTTCAACGACAGGAACGTCATATATGCTATCAACTGTGGTCGGTTTGCATCATTTACTCTGTTAATTTGTAGTTTTGTTGGTGTTTTATCTAACTAAAATCACTAAAAAGGTTTTTAATGCAAATAAACTGTAAGAAAAGTGTTGGAGCTTTTATTAAATTTAAGGTGGTCGAGCTCATACGGACCTTAATGGCATAAGATATCAAGCAGATTACTTGACGGCTGGGATTGCATCGGCGTATGGTGGGAGATATGCCATTGCTCGGGTAGACCCCCGTGACGCCGTTCTTTATCAGACTGAACGGTGACGTCTAGCTCAATACCGATGTTAAATTCATTTAGTTTTGCTAAACTTTCTACGGTAATCCCTTCCTCTTTTGCAGGTATAGTACTGAAGACTTTTCTTATCTAGTTCCTGTTCCCCCAGAAAATGGAGTTTATACGCTTGTGTTGAAATTCAGTGAGGTTTATTTCCATGCTCCTCAAAAGAAGGTTAGACTTTCTTTAAATTGCTTTTTAAAACAATCCAAAATAAGTTTGGGAACAAAGTATTACTATATTTATTCAGGTGTTTGATGTTTTGCTGAACGACGAGGTAATAATATCAGATTTGGACATTTATAAGTCGGCAGGTGGTACTGGTGTCGCCTATGACAGACTGATTTCTTTTAGGGTTTCTTTTTTTATTGTCTAATATATATCATCTTATCCTGGCGTTCTTTTAGAATTAGAATTTGTTACGTTTTGCTTCTATTATAACATTCTTCAAACTACATTTGTAATAAATAAATTTTCAAATTTTTTCTTTGAAATTTAGCTGAAAGGGAAAACAATATTTATTGGAGACTCGGCTACTGAAGTTGGCAAAGAATTAAAGCTCACTTTCGCAAAGGTTGGTACCAACCAAATTTTAATATATCTTACCAAACGCATTGCCTTATAAAAAGTATATATGGTAACTCTTCTTTTTTGAAGGAAAAGTTTGAATTGGATATTTCGAGAGTTGATTATCTGATTTTTAATATAATTAGGAATTTTGGCTTTGTCTTATTTAATAAACCATGATTTGTTTGATTTTTAGGGGGCTTATGACAATCCTAAAATAAATGCGTTTTATCTTTATAAGGGACCAGAGACAGTAAGTTTTTATGTACTCCTCATACTTTTTTTAAGTGACTTTTGTGCGAAGACGAGGGTGGCAAGTTGCATTTTTTCTTAGGATATTCCTCCACTTCTCAGTGTTCCTGAATTTACTGAAGGAGAAGAATTCGAAATGCCAGACGAAACCTCTGAATCTGAACAGGATGAAGAGCCAAGGAGACCTAGATTCGCAGATGGACCGCCTGTTGAAGATCCATACGCAACACAAGATAGTGGCTATATTCTTGTACCGATATTGGTTGCTGTTGCTTGCTTCTTCCCGGTTGTTTACTGTCTTTGTAAAATGTAGGGCCTGATTATTCTAGCTTTGAAAATAGTATAAATGTTTTCTTGGAACTGATCTCCTTTTCTGGATCTCTTTGATTTAGCTTGCTTATCGCGTAGTTGGTTTTCACACTAATAAGCCATTAATTTTTTTCTTTGATTCTAAAATTTAGAAAATTTGCTGTCGGTTGATCCCAGTAATCAAAGCATAGGTAGTTACCTGTTAGTTGATTTGAAGTTTTTGGGTTGCGATACTGCTAGTTAAATTCTTTCCTTGTTAAACTTGCCCACTATTTACTGTGTTGAAATTGTATGAAGAACTTCGTTACATAACTTATCAAACTTGTAATTTGTTAGCTGAGTTATTTATTGAAAATGACAACTAATGCTTGTTCAGGCGTTTATCACGAGTTGTAAGAAGGTAGAAATATCTGTTAAATTTGTAGCTAGGATAGTCAGTTATGTATTATATAGGCTGATCGCTTTAAGCGTTTAGTTATGAACTTGTACAATGGTTCATGATTAACATTCCAAATGAGTATTTGTAAGCTTCTTCCTAACCGATGTTTTTCTTTTCTGTTGTTTGGATGGTGAAATTGCTTCGGGTGAAATTGATGAAGATTGTCTGCTTTTGTATGAAATGTTGGCTCATTGCTAGTTTAATACTACAAGAGTGAGAAAGATTTTGAAAATTTTATATATTCTATGTGGGATTTTTTTGCTTATAAAATGTCTGTCGGGATGTGGTGCTGTTATGACTAATTTATTAATATTTTGTAATTTATTGTTTGAATACAATTGATGGGACCCGTAAAACTTGGGAATAAATAGAAACCAAAAAGAGACTAGCAAACCTTACAGTAATAATAAATACAGCAATAATAATAAGAAGAATCGTAGTAATAATGTAATATTTATAGTAATTGTTATTAACAGCACCTCGTTGTTGTGGGCAGCGACAGGCTGATTGGCTTGAGGACTATGGCACACTTGGCAATCAGGTCGTTTTTCTCGGCGTTTGTTCAGCATTAAAACTAAGCACAGTTGGGACTTTCTTGTTTTGGAGCATTTAGATTTGGTAAATTATTTATAGTTTCTGCTACCACGCAGAGGGATTCGGTTGACCAAGATGATTCAAATGTTTCCGCAGCATGACATTTTGTTGACTGTACACGTAGAAAAGTAACGCTCAACTTTGATTACTTTCAGCTTGATATATTAGTAAATTTTGGAGGTGTAGGGCAATTTTTTTGTCTTGTTGTGGATCGGTGCTATAGTTCAATTCCTAGTAGGTAGGGCTTTAGATGTTTTGGTATTGGGAGAGTGGTAACTTTCTGTGGTGTCATTGGCTGTAAGAAGTATCGTAATTTTAGCCGACATAACTGCTGGAGAGATGGTGGTTGACTGAAACATCCAAATTTGTATTGTATACTGAAGCAGCAATTTTTTTAAAAATAATTATTATCATAGTTCGACTGTAAGTTAAAAAAAGCGAATGGAACTTTGTGGCATTTTTTGGCAGGGTTTCGAACAAAAATTGAAAGAAAAAAAAGAAAAATGCAGAATAGTTAATTAGAAGAAGTGTTATTAACCTTGCTTTACTAAGCATTAGTTTTTTAAGGGTTTCAGGGAAACACATTCGTTCTATAGATGCTTTATCATACTGTTCACCTATGTCCATCATGATATTGAATATATCAGATTGTATCCCATGAACTTTAAGAATATTACATAATTGACCACGAGCATCGGCTAACGGCGACTGCATGATCATTTGACCACCATATGCCAGCAACAAGTATACGATTTTTTTGTCAATCTAAAGTTCATACCATGTAAACTACGCACTGCATCTTGTTTAATCAGTTTAACAAAATTACGAAAGCGAAATTGAATGGCTAATAAAACTGTATTGGCGGTGGAGAATTGTTATATAACGCACTCGTCGCTGGGATTTAAAGTATTCGGCGAGCGGAGATCGGAGTATTCCACCTTCCGGAAAGGAATGTGAAAGGTTAACATCTGCACCGTGTTTCAGAAGTAGCTTCATGATTTTGTACTGAAATCAATCAATCAGTGAACAGTTAAGCAGGACATCAACATTATGAGCACCTCTAAAACTGGAAATATCAGTTGTAAACGGAGTAATAAGTGTTTAATTTTTTAGACGATAATTGAAAATTACTTGATGATTCAGTTGCGAAGATGCAGCAAGATGGAGTGCACTACCGATATAAGTATGTACAGCATTTGGTTTAGCTCCTGCTTCCAACAGGATACGAACAAGTGTTGGATCGTCTTTCAGGACAGCCAAATCTAGTACAGACGGCTTGTCGTAGTTGCTAGGTTGGTTTACCATTGCTCCTTTCTGTTGAAAAAAAAAATTGGCAAGTTTGTTAATGTTTTCTTTATTTGTAAGCTTGACCGATATAATTGAAAATCTCTAAGGTACTGTAAAAAGAATAAAATTTTAAAATTTCTCAATAGCGTTGTTGTAGATATTTAACTTTTATCAATTATTTGAGACTAGGGGATTGTTGGATCGTAATATGCCATCAATTAGTTAACGGTGAATCATTTTTTTGCGATTAAATTAACCGTAGAGTTTTAACTCTGAGACGGTTTAGCAGTTGAAATGTGTCATTGGAATAACTTAGCCGAATATCTTTGTTAGAAGTCATTGCAAATTGGAGAGTACATTTACTTCAAAAAAAAAAAAAAAAAAAAA